AGTATCACATTGCCCGCCATGTAGCCAACTTGTTTGTGGTGCAGACCTATGAAGGTCAAAGTGATATCCATGGTAAGTTGTTCCTGCCTGACTGTGTTGGGCTGAGGCTAATGCATATTCCAATAGCTTTGATCCTCGGCCGTGCTATTACAGGCAAGCAGGCCTTTGTCTAAAAAATAAAAAGAGCATACTTGTATATAGAATATATCCTAATCGAATGATTCAAAGTGGTATATCAGTACTTATAATAGTACATACGTAGTCAGTAAGGACATAAGTAGTAGCCTTGAGTAGTATGCGGTCATGCTATCAAAAGCATACTTCCTTCCTCTTTAGGTTAAGCGGGAAATTGCGGGCGCCTCACCCGCACGTGACATCATCGAGGGGCAGTGTATCAGTATCATGCGGTGTAATAGGGATTTTCAATACAGAGGTATATTGAAAGAAAGAGATTTAAATATAAAAGTTAGACATTCAAATTATGAGAAATACATTATGTATGTATTTACATATAAGATCGGTCTACTGATTAGGCACTGCTCTCCTTTCACTAGGTTGATATTTGAAATATCTGCAAATGCTGTCTTTGTCTGACATGCCTTTGCCTAACCCCGCCAAATTTGATGATTCAGCCTTATCGAGGGATTTGCCTTCAATCATGAAACAAACCATTTTGATTCAAAGGACATATGTACACATATATATCTAACATTCTATCTGCTTCTGCCTCATTCTCAATGCCTCAAATAACGGGTAAGCCTCAAAGCTGAATCATGATGTGTCATCTCAGTGTGGCGCCCGGTATTCCCGTATTGGGCCGTACAATACCGACAGAATCGATTCCGCCCACCTGTGGGCACTTTTCCCCCCTCTTGAGACTCCCAATTATCTTCTTCCCTCTTCTTTTCCACACAAAGACGTAATCGTAAGTCGACTTACTTCCTCTCTAACTTGAATCAATAACTGACGATCCATCACCCAGTTTCTTTTTACTTTCTGCACTTTCTCACTCTTTCGTCATGGCTCTCAAGCGTATTAACAAGGAACTCACTGACCTCGGCCGGTAAGCCTATCCTGATGCCATCATCTGCGATTCATGACTCTAACTCTCCTTTAGTGATCCACCCTCTTCCTGCTCCGCTGGCCCCGTTGGAGATGATCTGGTATGAATACTCGTTCTCTTGGTTGGCGCCGTGTGGCGGGGCACAACCACCCCGGTGTTAAACCAGGTTGATATCAATGAGGGGATATGGATGACTGACTTGTCTTTTTTTCTTACAGTTCCACTGGCAAGCGACCATCATGGGTCCTGTAAGTTGCTCTCATATCCGCTCTCGAGGACCTTGGGGGGCCAGATGGCCCTCTGCGAGGTCCAGAGAGTCATCACCAGATTCGTTATACTAATAGACGATACAGGGTGACTCCCCATACTCTGGCGGTGTCTTCTTCCTTGCCATTCACTTCCCTACCGACTACCCCTTCAAGCCTCCCAAGGTCAACTTCACCACTCGCATCTATCACCCCAACATCAACTCCAACGGCAGCATCTGTCTGGACATCCTGAGAGACCAATGGAGCCCTGCTCTCACCATCTCTAAAGGTGAGCAAGACCACTCCTTTTACTATCTGCCACACACAATCTCTAACCCTTCATAGTGTTGCTCTCCATTTGCTCGATGCTCACAGATCCCAACCCGGACGATCCTCTTGTGCCCGAAATCGCGCACGTCTACAAGACCGACCGACCCCGTTACGAGGCGACGGCTCGCGAGTGGACACGGAAGTACGCTATTTGAGTGAAACGACAAATCTGATTCCTTTTTGCTTATGTTCTTCCCTCTATCTCTCTCCCTCAATAACCCCCTTCCTTGCGGCCCCTATCTCGCTCGACCACTCTTCATCGGTGTCATCTCAACGTCGCTTTGCATCTTTCCGCTTTCTTTGCCCCGCTCTAGATTCAGAATTCGCGAAAGCCTGGCGTACCTGTGGTCGTAGAAACGTTTTCAGTCTTTTTTCTCATCCCCCAAACTCTGTGTGTTGATTTCAAATGCACCTGTTCTTGCGCGCGTTGCTTCCTGCTTCTGTGCCTAAAAACTCCATTTGCGCCGGGTTTGACCTTGTCTTGTTAGGCTGAGTTTCTGGGACTTTTCATATCCAACGATCCTTATGACAAATTCTCATGCATTCATGGCATCCATTTTTCTTCTTCTCTTTTTCAAACGCTGCATGCGCCTAGGATTGAATTATGGAATTTGCCGAGTTTTTTCTCCAGTTCTTTTGCTTCTTTGTACTAGGCGATGCTTCGGACTCGGAGGGTAATGGCTTTGGGGTTTTTCGAAGAGAAGTTCGAGATCACTTGTTCTGTGTCTTGTGTCTTGCGTCTAGGGGCTTCTATCCTTTTCTGTCTTAAATAACACAATCTTGGTAGGCCCATCTGTGTGCTAATGAGCTTTTTGGCACTTGTAGACTGTAGTTTGTACATCGTGTAGTATTGGACTACTATTGGCATCATCGATATCTCAACCACAACTTCAAACACTGACTCTTGAACGATGCATTCCAATTGCCCAACTCCCAGACTCCATATATGTATGTATGTATATCTATCTGTGTAAATGCAAATCAAAAAGATTAATAGTAGAAAACCGCATCGAATCAAATCTGTCGCATCAAAATCCCCCAACTGGGATCACATTCAAACAACCTGACTCCCCCGTCGACTCCCAGCCCTCGACCCTTCCCCAGCCTTAGCAGTCCTCTGACTAGCCCTAGAAACCTGACTCACCGAGTCCGCCGGACTCACATGATCATCAGCCCTAGACCCTTTGGAACTCTTCGACCGATGCGAGCGATGCCGATGAGCATGCGATCCAACCTGGCTAATCGAGTCATCAGGCGAAACATGTGAGTCGACGTCCAGATCCACCACGCTTTCGGGAAGCGGGACATTCCGTGCAGACAAATACGAGTTCCCGCCATCCTTGCTGTGGATACTCGGGCTGGAGTAGTATGTAGCGCTTGAGCCAGCGGGGAGGGGGATATTGCGCGCGGAGCGGGAAGATGATGCAACGCTGGCGTTGTCTTTGCCGACGTGCGAGGAAGAGCGCACTGAGGCCGCGCGGTACGAGTGCGTGCTTTGCTGGCTCTTTTGCGAGCGTTGGGAGACGACGGACTCGTATCCGTCGCGGTCGTCGTGGCTGTGGCGTCGGTGGGTGCTTTGCGATGCTTTGATCGTTGAGGAGCTGTGCACGCTGCTTGGAGCGCGGGTCTTCTCGTCGTGATAGCTGCTGATGAAGGTTGACGGGGCGCAGGCGTAGCGTTGCTGCGAGGCGTTGCTGGCCGGTGGATACTCGATTGCCCGGAGCGGGGTGTCCTCGGGAATACTGTAGATGCTGCCTTCTGAGGCGCGGCGGGGGTTGTCGTGCATGTATTCGGTGCCCTCGTAGATTGTGCTGGCGCGGGGGTTCTTGGAGGTTACGCTGCGCGTGAGGGTTGAGCGGGGGTTTGAGGCGGTTGTGTAGGAGCTGCGTGGTGGTGAGGGTGCTTCGATGGCGCGGTATTGGGATTGTTGGTCGTCGTTGTTGAAGAAGGATTGGGCCGCAGCTTTGATTTGGGGGAAGCTGCTTGCGAACTGTGTTGGCTGTTCGGGCTCTTGCATTGTTGACTGGGAGTCACCCTTGACCATTGCGTAGGCGATGGCTGCGCCTGCCGCGGCGCCAATGAGCGTGCCCACGATGGTCTTGGCTGCTTTGCTGCCGTCATCGGTCTGGGGCGGGGCGGGTGCTTGCACGGTGTATGACGGTGGCGGCGGGCCTTGGAATTGGCGGGAGACGACTGTTGGTGCAGACCGCTCAAAGGTTGTGGGTGCTTTGGAAATGGCACGCGACTTGACCTCGGATCTGGCTTCGGACCTTGCCTCGGATCTTGCCTCAGACTTTGCCACGGATCTAGTTTCGGACACCTCAGACCTTGGAGGTGCAATGCTCTCTGTCTTGATGGTGCTAGCTCTGCTGCTCGCCTTTGAGACCACGGAGCGGCTGGAACTCTCTATAAGAGCCATTGTCGGTCCGCTAGCCTCCGACGAGATAACCGAGGCATTGCTGGGTCGGTACACGGCTTCAATGCTGTTGCCGTCAAAGTCGATGACAGCTGCACTGAAGTACCCTGACTGCGAATCTCGCATCTTGGGTTCGCCGTGGATCTTCGCGCCCGCTTTTAGGGCACTTATGAAGAATGAGCCGACTGCGTCTTTCGACGGGGCTGGAAAGGCGACATGGACTGCACCAGGAGGAGATCTTTGGTTCAGGTTAGCTTTGCCGAAAGGTAAGAGTGTTGCTTTGTATATATCACTCACCCAGGCTTAGTCTCGGTCATCCAGAAATCAGCAGGTTCCCCCTGCTTCTGACCGAAACCTATATAGTCGTCATGTCGACCAATGAATTGGTATCCCAATGGCTGTAAACATGATAAGAAGAAAGAGGTAGAGGTCGGGAGGTGAGAGACGGTCAAGGTGATATGCGAAACGGGCATTGCGAATGTTGGAAGTCGACGTGCCTGAGTTACCAGCACGTACAAATAGTTGAGAAAGAATGGGGAAAACGAAGGTGGATGGAAAGAGAGAGAGAGAGAGAGATTAAATGGAACCGGTAAAGATATATACGGTGAGGGATTCCAAGTCTATAACCAGAACTATGACGCCAGGAAATGAGGCCACATGAACGATGCCTCCAAGAGCCAGTCAGAATAAATGCCGTGTGACTCTAATCCAAAAACAGAGAATAAACTAGCCTCCAAAATCCTGCCCAAGCTAAAAAAGGGTCATCCAGAACACCGCATGTTTCCCGATAGTACGGAGTACGTTGGTGGACACTTGAGGACGTGTGATTTCTGTATGGAGTCAGGCAAGTGGGGGGTCCATAGACGATTGGCCCAAAGATCAAGTCAATGCTCAGTACCCGATCTGCACGGAAAAGTTGAAACAGTCCGAGGACGAGGCGTATTCAAGGCCTAAACCCATACTCTGGTAGTTCGTACTTGGTGAGAATAGAAAGGTCAATCCGTACTTCCAATGGCACAATAGTCAGACCGAATGCTGTTCCTGTTCCTGGCTGCTTTGGGATATCTAGGGGCCCAACTCTGTGCAGGGTGAAACGCTCTATGGCTGGAGGGCTGCAGATGGGTCCCTGCCAGGTCATCGCGGGGAGCCAATGTGGATTCCTGTTGGCGGATGGGGCGTCTGTTCTGGATGCCCTGAGCGAGGTGCAGGAGCCTATCGACGTTAAGTGGGCTTTTTGCTTACTTGTTCTCGTGTGAGCAAATGGTAGACTTGGTAGTGGAGGAGGAGGAGAAAAAGTCCTGCCAGGTGGACTTGGGTAGATGTGCTGACCGCTACGGCTACAGTTGAGTCATCCACGTAGATTGAGTGCTTTTTTTTCTTCTCTCTCATAAATTTTCAAGTAATAATATGATTTACATAGAATAATATGGTATATAATAACATATTTATCTACAATGTCTACCGACAATATATCAATACCAAATATACGATGGGCAGAAGTGCATCTCATATCGCCACCGTCGATCCGCTTCGCACATTCAAAGTGAGGCGAGGGCTAATTACATGCCACGTCAAGGATCAAGATTATTATTACGGAGCACTTTACAAATGCTTTGATAAAGAGAAAAAAAATAAAAGAGAGTAAAAAAAATAAAAAAGCCATATTTTTATTGAACACAGAAGTTGAAGATATGTGTCTCAGGAATCCCAAATTAATGGGCCCTGATCTATGTGCTGTTCACTTTTTCTGGTCTACGCATCACAACAGTCGAGGTTGAAGCTGGATGGAAGCAAGATGGATCAAGGACTGGCGAAAAGGAACCAAATGCCATCCGACCCGTAACGTATAAGGGAAAAGAAGAACCAGGTGCTCTCTAAACCACAGACCTTGGGATGAATCCCGATGCTTGGAAGCTGTCCCAGTATTCCCAGTTTCCTTCAAACAAAACCGAGATAGAAAGGTAGAGAGAATTGGGCTTAATAACGGCCGAAGTACTCAAAGGACAGGCATATGCAGAGATACCGGTACCTTCGTTCTGCAAATCAATCCCCGTATATAAAAAAAAGGTGCAAGTGTGCCGTCAGTACAGACGACAAGGACGCGCGCTATCTGGGCGCGATTTCTTTCTTTTTTGTTTTTCCAGTTGGGGTTCTCAAAGGATATCCCAAACCTCTTCGGCAGCGTGGCAGAACTTGCTACAGGCAACACTGGCACTGAGACTGTAGTTGCTGATACTGATAGTTTCGTCCTTGAAAGAGTCGGCAAAGTCATCGTGGCCCTTGGCCATGGCACCGACGAAGATGGCGACACTCTCGTTGGGGTTCAGCGACTCCAGGTAGTCCTTGGTACGGACCACGGGCGCCTCGAAACTCATGGTCACTTTGCGGCAGTTGGGGGGCAGGTGGTCGGTGATCGGGTTCTTAATAACCTTGAGGAGCTTTTCCTGTGAGTTGGTCGAACGGATGGAGAGTCGGTGGAGCAACTGGACCATCAGACCGGCGAACCGCTTGAATGTTCTCGGGATGCGGACGGAAGGATTGACTTCGATCAAAACGCCCTTGGCGGTGTGAATGAAAATTTGGAGCCGACCGGCCTTGTTCACGGGGGAATCGAGAAGAGTGAGTAGGCACTACGGCGGGTTAGTGGGCATTCTCTTTTGACCTTGCTATTGCCACTGGCGATGTTGAATCGTACCTGGTGGGTAATATCTGGTCGGGCTTCACTGATATCACGGTTCATTTTACGCATGATACCGATGTGCTCATCGCTGTTCAGCAGAGAGAATTTCTCATCTTTGGTCCCTGAGCGTCCACTGGAGACAGCCTTGTAGGTTTCCAGACTAGCATTGGAAAGAACCACAATCAAACGTTGGGTGTCCTTGTCATGGGATGGAATTGGCACATGCTGTTCGGCAACCAGCTGGGGGAGCTCCGGAGGAGGGCATGACTGGGTCCCTGGAGGTGAGAGGTTAGACATATTCAAGTTTCTTTTTTTTTAAGTCTATAGAATTGTGATTTAGGGGCGGGGAGGGGTAAAGGGAAGGGGGAAAATTGTGACAGATGTGGCTGGGATATAATCCGAAGGGATTGGTGCCCAGGGACATGTCACACGGGCCAGATCAGAATTGATTCTGGAAGATTGATGTTGAATTGTGATTCGAGTGGTGTAGTTCCGGAGAGGAATGAGATACAAAGCAAGGGAGAAAAACATAAAAAAGCAGATCCAAGACTTACTCGCACGCTTTCTCTTGCCGGCAGCTTGTTCGTGGTCAGACATTGTTGGTATATTGACAAAGTTGTTGGAGTTGAAGAGTTTTTGGGGGGGAAACTCGGGGAGAATAAAAAAAAAAAGAGCGGCCAAATAGGCCCGGGAGATCCTGCGGGAGATCCTGGACTTCGGAGTCAGCTGGAATTATATCGAATCTGACACTGCATATTAACCATGCTTCTTTTATTAATCTCTTTATTCCTTTAACTATTTTCTTTATGGATTAGAGTGCATTCTTCGGACTTTTTATATGTTGAAAGATTTAAATACCGACATAGTAGAATAGTAAAAGATATATGACTTCATACTAGATCTACCTAGGTAAGTATAACTATAACCTTGGGATATAATTGGGATATAATATACCACATAGTTTTTACCCAGCTTCAATAGTTCTAGAATCCCCTTTTAATTCCCTTTTCATGTTAGCTCCAACGGTTAGTGCTTAGTGCCACCCAGAGAGATCGACACTATAGCCCCCCCCCAAATTGTGCCGTTTATGGAGTACAAGCTTATACGGAGTCCCAATGTATAATATGTACGATCCCAGCTCTGTTTGAACCAGCCACGATCGACTAAGGGAAGCCACATGAAAGCTTCTCTTTTATAGGTTGATAGGTCCATCATTCCCTCAATAATAGCGTCGGACAAGAATGTATCGAGTTGATTTGCTTGAGACTATCTACCTTTGGACTACGGAGTAGACCCTGGTAGATCGGCAACTTTGGCAGCTACTGTACTGGAGCACAATGAATACTGGAGAATATGGTTAGACCGGATGATGAGGATGTGTAACATTCTATGCATAAAATTGCGTGGGTGACTCAGAACAAACAGATCTGACTGGCCCATGCCCAGCATTGCCTCTTGGGGGGCACCGTACTCCGTACACCGAGAGGCTCCTATCCAGTAAATGAGAGGGGTCAGCACAGATATGAAGGCCACGAATGGGTGAGAATGGCAAAGGTGGCACAAGGAAGCTTTGTCAGGGCAGTAAACCCGAGGGTCCTGAAGGAGTAGTTCTTCAGGCAATTCTGAGACATTTGTTCAGAGTTGGAGCTTATGACGCCTCTCGTGGATACGGACTCCGCGGTCCGGTAGCGACCGGAATGAATGTGTACTCCGTAGGCTCCAGCACTGAATGTTCATACTTCCCTGACATGTCAAGTGATCAGTGGCCAGTCTTTGTGAAATCCGGGGACCAGGCCTCCCATATATCGATGACCTCGTAAGCTGGGTTTAACATCAAGCCAATCACTTGACAAGATCCAACTCTGTCGGGTCTTGACCCAATCAGCACAGAATACTTTCGTGTTGGGTTGGCCCCAAGCGCCCGGTATATTCCCTCAACTGAACAGAATTGCTGCAACCTGTAACCTGTATCCTGTAAGCGCTGAACGTGAAGTATTAAAGCGGTCAATACTGATGATCACAATTCCAACGTGGGCTTCCTTGCACAATGCAATATGGGGAAGCTCTTACTGGCTATATGGAAGCCTTGCCCACCTTGGCAATAAGAGGCCAAGGGGGGCTCAGGAGAGCGTCATCTTTTAATCTCCCTGGTAGACTTTCACCAGTGCACACAAGATAGTCTCATTGGCTGAATTTTGAGGATTGGAGCCTGTCTGCTAACTGCCAATTGTGTACTTCATCCGTCGTACTCCATAAACATTATTTATATTATTGTGAATCAATTAAGAAAGGGGGAAAAAAAAGAAGTGCCCGACATACCAACCACAGGAATTTGACAAGGCTGGTGTGATTGTTGTTATACTCCGTTTATCTGCACTTCACATCTTCATATTTTCATATCTTCGCATCTTCACTTCTTCACTTCTTCACTTCTTCACTTCTCTGACTCTTTTATCTTCTTCCTCCTTGGTCCGGTATTAATTCCGGCTGGTGGCGAGACTCTCCTTTTTTTTAAAACTACAAAAACCCAGCTCTCCACCGGCAACTGTTGATCATTTCCACATCTTTTTTTCCTCTCTCTTTTCCTATTTGAACTTGAAACTGCCCTGAAAACCCAAAGGAAAACAAAACCCAAACCAGAGACCAGAGACCAGGCAAGGGATAACGTCCCAGGCTCTGAAGGTCAGTGAGATTAGTCATTCCCTTGGAACAATATGACCTAAAACAGACTAGCGTTCCACGCGTGCCCGGTCAAGCTCGACTTTCTCAACTTCTTCATCCCACCTTTGCCCTGAACAAATTTTGGAAAAGTCAGGGTCATGCCGTGGACAGTTACCAATTCATTTAAGAGGTATGCATATTGGATTCAATTTACAAGGGGGTGAACTGACATCCTCCAAGAGGACTTATGAAAACTTACGGACGACCAACATGGCGCGTCTATGACGATGAGCGCGCCGCGAAGAAAAGACGCGTGGATGAGTCCGATGAAGCTGAGGCCAACCTGCAATACGCCATCCGCGAGTCTTCAGCCGCTGTGCTGTCGAGCCCGTCGCGTCGCAACTCCCTGTTATCGGAAGGCACGCTCGATGATATTGACGATCTCACCACACCCCCATCCTCGCCACCACCACGGTTAACTCCACCGCCAGCAAATACCCGCAAGCCGACATTTGCCTTTCTCAAGCGCAAGCACAAGGAAGTCACCGCCGGATCGCCCTTGACGGAGGTTAATTCGAATAGCGTACGCGCATCCGTGGACCCGCCCAAACAGAAAGGTCAGAAACAACCCGTTATGCGGCAGATGCAGATAGACTTGGGAAATGATACACGAAAGACCTGTGCTACCTGTGGCATGGAATATATCCCGTCCAATACAGAGGATGCGGCACTGCATAAAAAGTTCCACGAGATGAACGCGACTGGGATCGACCTGGGCAAGGCATTTATGCGTGCGA